TAAACTGTCCTTTCTTAAGTGAGTAAGTTTCACAAATCAGTCTGGAGGCCCCAGAAGAGGAAGAACTTGAAGCCTCCTCATACTTAATTTTCTCTTCTTTTCCTATTATATTTTTTTCCATTACCATTTAGTTCCCTTACATCCCCTCATCCCACCCCACAACCATCACACTTGTCTATGTCTGAATCCTTTTTCTTTTTTGCTCAATCCCTCTATTCCCTCATCTTCTCTCACCCCCTTAGCTGTTATCCTGTTCTCAATCTATGAGTCTGATTAATCTTCAGTCAAATACGTGGCAAATGACAGAGCAGGATCTATGGTTTTTCAGACCAAAGTAATTTGTGATAGCAACAGATTTAATGTAGATGCTTGCTAAACTGTGGGTAAGAACGTGGGGTGGGGTGAGAGGATAGAGATCAAGTACTTAAAATCTTCAAAGCAAGTCTAGCTCCACAAAGGCCTGAGAGGAGGCTCTCCAGTCACTTGAGGGGTCCTCAGTCATTCTGAGACTTAACTACACAAGACAGCCCTTGTGTAGTTAAGGGCTACAAAAAAATCCTTATCTGAGGATACATTTATTGATTTTAAAGAGATGAAGGAGTGGGGAGGAGAGAAAGAGAGAGAGAGAGAGACATCGATTGGTTTCCTCCCATATGCAACCCAATGGGATTGAACCTGCAAACCCTGATTGGGAATCAAACCTACAACCTACTGCTGCATGGAACCATGCTCCAACCTGGCCAGGGCCATAAATAAAGTTTTATTAGAATACAACTCTAGGACTTCCAGCCCAGATGGAGGAATAGGTAGAAACACTGTGCCTCCTCGCACAAACAAAATAAAAACAACAACAATTTAGAAACAAAATAACAACCAGAACTGATAGAAAATTGAACTGTATGGAAGTCTGACAACCAAGGAGTTAAAATATACACATTCATCCTGACCAGTGGGCAGATGGCTGGGCAGAGAGGGGTTTCGGCACAAAAACTGGTGGCACCAGGCATGCAAGGCACCCTGGGTGCACAAGATGGCAGCGGGAAAACCCTGGGTGTGCAGGAGGTGGCTGGCAGACCCTCGGTGCTGGGTGGCACCGGACATATCCAGCGAGGCGGTGATTGTGAATCGAGGCAGCGATTGTGAATTGAGGCACTGCACACAAGGTAGCTGGCTGACTGAGTGGTCCCATATTCCAGTGCAAATAAATCAGGTGAAACTCAGGAGCAAGACAGACCGCACAGCCCAGGGTCCCCAGAGCCTGGAAATAAAGCCTCAAAACACCGATTGAAAACATCTGTGGGGGCTGAGACCCAGAGAAAGACTCCCAGCCTCACAGGAGAGTTCACTGGGGAGACCCACAGGGTTCTAGAATGTACACAAGTCCACTCACATGGGAATCAGCACCAGAATGGCCCAGTTTGCTTGGGGGAAGCACGGGAAGGGACTGAAATCTGACAGAGAGCAGAGCAAGCACCATTGTTCCCTCTTGGACCCTGTCCCCATATACACCATCACAACCCAGCAACTGTGTTGCCCTGCCCTGGTGAACACCTAAGGCTCCACCCCCCATATGTAACAGGCACGACAAGACAAAAAAAAATGGCCAAAACAGAAGAACAGATGAAAGCTCCATAGCAAATACAACTAAGAAACAAAGAGATAGCCAACCTATCAGATGCACAGTTCAAAGCAATGGTGATTAGGATGCTCACAGAATTGGTTGAATTTGGTCACAAATTAGATGAAAAAATGAAGGCTACACTAAGTGAAATGAAGGAAAATGCACAAAGAACCAATAGTGATGGGAAGAAAACTGGGACTCAAATCAATGGAGTGGACCAGAAGGAAGAAAGAAACAATCAAACAGAAAAGAATGAAGAAAAAATAATTTAAAAAAAGAGGAGAGGCTTAGGAACCTCCAGGACATCTTGAAACGTTCCAACATCTGAATTATAGGGGTACCAGAAGGAGAAGAAGAAGATCAACAAGTGGAAAAGTTATTTGAACAAATAATAAAGGAGAACTTCCCCAATCTGGAAAAGGAAATAGACTTTCAGGAAGTCCAGGAAGCTCAGAGAGTCCCAAAGAAGTTGGACCCAAGGAGGAACACACCAAGGCACATCATAATTACATTACCCAAGATTAAAATGAAGGAGAGAATCCTAGAAGCAGCAAGAGATAAGGAGGCAGTTACCTACAAAGGAGTTCCCATCAGACTGTCAGCTGCTTTCTCAAAAGAGACCTTGCAGGCAAGAAAGGACTGGAAAGAAGTATTCAGTCATGAAAGGTAAGGACCTACATCCCAGATTGCTCTATCCAGCAAAGCTTTCATTTAGAATGGAAGGGCAGATAAGTGCTTCTCAGATAAGGTCAAGTTTAAGCAGTTTATCATCACCAAGCCCTTATTTTAAGAAATGTTAAAGGGACTTACCTAAGAAAAAGAAGATAAAAAACATGTATAGTAAAATGACAGCAAACTCACAATTATTAACAAACACACCTAAAACAAAAACAAAAACAAACTAAGCAAACAACTAGAACAGTAACAGAACCACAGAAATGGAGATCACATGGAGGGTTAGCAACAGAGGAGGAGAGAGGGGAAAAAGATACAGAGAATAAGTAGCATAGATGGTAGGTAGAAAACAGACAGGAGGAGGGCAAGAATAGTATGGGAAATGTAGAAACTAAAGAACTTATGACACATGGACATGAACTAAAAGGCGGGGAATGTGGGTGGGAGAGGATGTGCAGGGTAGAGGGGAATGAACAGCAGGAATGGGACAACTGTGATAGCATAATCAATAAAATATTTTTAAAACAACAACAACAAATACAACTCCACCTATTTGTTTATGTATTTGGAACTACAAAGGTGGAGTTGAGTAGTTGTCACTCAACTGTATAGTCCCTAAAGCCAAAAATACTGACTAGCTGACCCTTTGCAAGAGAAGTTTGCTGACTCCTCTTAAAGCAAAGTGTTGGCATTAGAGATTCTAACCAGATTCTGCAGCCAGATTTAGCTATCCAGCCCCACCCCAAAGCAATTTTCTATCCAGTTTATTCTTGTGGATTCTTGTTGCTTGTGTTACTAAGTCTAACTAGTGCCTTAATAGTACAGTTCTGACTCTCATCACATCTCTCACTTTCTTATTCGGTCATAATTTCTGCCTCTCCATTCCTAGGGTGAGAGAAAGAACCTGGTGTGAAAATTAATTCCAACAACACATGAAATGAAATTAGCTCAATGCAAACATTTTTTCCTGTGAACCATTTCCTTGCTTCTTTCCCTCCTGCTGTATTCATCAACTGTTCCAAGTGTCCCCTTCAGTCACCAGGGGATCTGAAAGAACTTGGCATAATCTAAGCACCAAAGATCTGTTCTTAAAAGGGGAAGTTACTGCTAGATCTTTACTAAAAACATTTTCTAATTATTTTTTGCACTTACTAACTAAACCTAGATACTGAAAATTTAGAACCTGAGTTAAAAATAAAACTGTTGCTTGCATATAAACTTTTCATTGCTACTCACATGCTATGCCAAACTCAGATGCAAAATGAAAACAAAACTACTTAAGAACAAATTTGTAAACTGGAAAAATTCAGTTCACTAGGGCTACGTTTCAAAAGCTAGTTGTGTTCATTCATCAATAATTGGCCATCCTGACTGGAAATGTTTTAGGGAAGTTGTAAATCAGCACAGATGCTATTCAGGTATTTGCCACCTAAAGACCAAAACCAATACTCAGATCACCTCCCAGAAAAGTTAACCAACTGACAAGCCAATAGTGTTTGAGGTGGGATCCAGAACTCCAACCCAGGAGTCAGTCTGTCTGCGAAGCACACACTGCTGACAGCCTGCACCTGCACCTGCACCTGCACCTGAGAGAGAGGCTGTAGCATCTTTCTGGAACAGCACAGCTAGACAACTATGAGTTCCACATGGGGAACACTCAGAACTGGTTCCTCAGAACCATGACAATGCACGGGACAGTGAGACTGTGAGCCCACACAGGTGTAACACTCTTGTACACTGTAACACAGCCACTGAGGTCAGTACTGATACTTCTGTTCAATGGCTGAGGAAGTCTGACCCAAAGAATTTATTTTACTGAGGCAAAATCATAGAAGTAGCAAGTGGTAGAATAGGAGTATTAGGGCTGGCAGGTTAGAGTCTGACCCCCAAAGCCACACTATCCCTGCCTGGGCCCATCCATGGCACCCAGGTGAATCACTTGATTTGTTTTCCCCATGTTTAAGGGAGAAGAGGTCTGGCTGACCTCTGGTGTCTTCCAAACCCTACTCTCTGCTTCTGCATTTATTGCAGAGTGGTTTATTCTGAAGCGGGAAGCATGTAGTTGTTTCCTAGATGTTCTGCTGACACCCTACCTATGGAGAACCAGCAACTCTCCTCTTGCCTTCTCTTGAAGTCTGAGGATAGTGACAGAATAAAAAGAAGGGTCACAAAGGGCCAGCCCCAGTTCGTCTGGGCCAGGCAGGACTCACTCTGGAGCTCTGCGGTCACCAGCCGCTAAGCGCCCAAGGTGGGTGGAGATTCTGCTAGCCCTGCTTTCATGCCCACACCTCCAGACTACAATCCGAGGACTGACGATTCCTAACAGGCGTGGGCCGGTCAAAGTTATTGCGTTCAATCTTGCAATCTCTGAGTCAGGGCACCTCAGGGCCCTCCACATCTTCACCTGGGAGCCAAGACACCCCCTGGCAGGGCGATCCCACACGCAGTAACTTCCCCAGAGCCCTCAAACTCCAGCTCCACTAACCCCTCATCGCTTCTCGTTGCTGCGACCAGTCCCTGCCGTGCATCCCTGAGCTCGCCCGCGGTGCCATCCCTCCCGGCACGGCGTGCCGGTCCGCGAGCCGCAGGCGACAGAGGGGACCAACGTCGCAGCCCGGCTGGACCCTTGACGCCCCCTCCCTCTCAAGCGCCCTGACCACGCAGCCTCCGAAAACCCTGCCCGAGCCCGGACACACAAGCCTACCCATGGTGGCGGATCCAAGGGCTTCCAGGGACTGGCGACCGAGGAGTCTAGGCAGGAAGACCTTTTTTCAAGGTGTTGCTCCTTTGATTTTATTTCCAGGCCCTGCCCAGCCACCTGCGCAGCTGGAGGTGTGCGGGCGGGTCGGCCGGACTCCACCCAGGGAGCAGAGGTTAAGAGCTCCTTGAGCCTCAGCAGAGGGATACCTGTCCCGTGCCCAGCCCTGGGACGCCTTTGAGCAAGGGGCAGGGCTGCACGTGGCAGCGGGAGTCCTGGGGTAGGGACACCCCAACGTGAGTGCTCATCTGAGTCACTTGGAGGGCTTCTCAAAATGCAGGTCTGTGCCTCAACCCTATTTGCTGACATGGTAGGTTGGGGTGTGGGCCCCAGAATTCGCATTTCCGACAAATTCTAATGTGATTTTGCTGCTGCTCCTGAGGACTCCACTTTGGAAACCACTGCACTGAGAAAACACACTTCTGCAGCAGGAAGCAAAGTGGGTGGGGCATTGACCAGTTTCACATGTGTGCCACCTGCACACACCTGGAATGTGAACCCATGGAAAGCGTTTCTGAAGGATTCTACCTATCTTTTGGAGGAAGGTTAGTAAGAAGCTAGGAAAATACCTTGGCAAGTAGAATGGGGAAACCGAGACAGAGAGCTGAACATACTGGCTGAGCAATTTACAGCCAGATACAAAAGATCACCAGGGTGGTAAGCCCCTGGTGCCTGATAATGGAGAAAACTGGTGCTGCCTGGCCCCCAAGGAGTCCTCTCCTCCCCTGGCATATCACTGGTCTTGTGGTTTAGACCCCTGACATTCCCCCCTGAGATAACATTTAGGCCTCAGTTGTATTTTCAGCTCCAGGCCCAGAAAAGTCATCAAAACCAGGCAGGTGTTGCCAGGAGCAGCTGAAATGACTAATAACCCTCTTCTCTGTGCTGACCAATCCATGGAAACTATGACCATAAAAAGGTACACCTTGGAAAAGCTGATGAATACTCTATTGAGATCCTCCCCTAAAACCACCCCTAGACCCCCTGGCCTTTAAAACCCTCAAGCCAAAGGACCCAGGGTGCTTCCTCTTCCTCTGGGGAGCAAGCCTGTACCTTTTCCTTACCCCTTTTCTTCCCCCACAGGCATGCATCTTCCTTAACTTTAAGGGCCCCCATGAGACTTACAACCAGGGAAGCAATGCACAGCAGCAGTTTGTCCTGGGCTAATCCCTTGAACCTGTCTCCAAGGCCTCCTTTTCTCTGACTCTCCTGTGAGCTCTCCTGTGAGCTGACAGCAGCCTCACCTTGGCCCCCTTTTTTCCCTATCATGTTTCTAGAGTGCCAAACGCAGCCCTGCCTAGTCTCTCTCCTGTTGCTTCTTCTATCAGAGACCTTTCTTTGGTTTCCCACCCCCAGCTTTAATAAACACACTCTCAAAATCATCTGTACTTTGAGCTGGTACCCTTCTTGATAACACTTTCTTTAAAAATAACAAAAACAAAAATAGCAATGATATAGTGATTATCCCCAGGTTATTTTTCTGTTTCCTTGTCTGACTTGAGAGATGTGTGCTCAGCAAACACTGAAAGAAAAATAAAAAATAGAAATGAAGGTGAGTTTCTATTGCCTTCAGAAAATCGTGGTAAAATATACTTAACATAAAAGTCACCTTCTTAATTGTAAGTGTACATTAAGTGCCATTAAGTACATTTACATTGTTGTGCAAACATCACCACAATTCAATTCCAGAACTTTTTCATCTTTTCAAAGAAACTCTATTAAACACTACCCCTTAAACACTAACTCTCCACTCCCCCTTTCCTGGCCCCTGGCTGTCACCCTTTTACTTCCCATCTATGAATTTGACTACTCTAGGTACCCAATATGGCTGAAATAAAAAAATATTTGTCCTTTTGTATCTGGCTTCTTTCACTCAGCATAATGTCTTCAAGGTCCAACCATGTTGTAGCATGTGTCAGAATTTCCTTCCTTTTTAAGGCTGAATGATATTCTATCACATATGCACTTTGCATGTATCCATTCCTCTGTCTCTATTAATTTTTGTCTTAGCAGTTCCTCCAGCCTGACTGGAAGACTGTGGTAAGAGAGACAAACCCAGGCAGCTCTTCCTCAAAGGTGCCTGGACCTGCCCTCCTTAGGCTTCTTCACTGTGCATGAGAAGAAACCTCTTCATGCAGTGGCTTAATTGATATACACAGGGCAGCAGCTGATGTTACCAAAGGGCATGGAGCTACAAGTAGAAACACTACATCAAACAGAAAAATGCAGCATTGACTGGAGGAAAGAAAACATGCTCTTGAAGTATTGGAAGCATGCTTCCTAGTTGTCCTGCTGTCAGATAAGTCAGGGGTAGAAAGGAAAAGCTTGTGGTATTTTCTCTTGATTAAACTTTTCTCTACCAGGTGGTATTTCTGTTGATGAGCTCATGAAGCTAGGAATCCTAGGCACTCTTGTTCTAGGCCATGTTAACCTAAAAACAAAAGACCTTTCAAAGCAAGAGACAACATTTATTTGAGATCAAAGAATAGCTATGGGGAAGCACTGATTCAGACAGAACCCTAAATAATATTTCAATTAGGAGACAAAGGCAAGGGGTATTTGAAAAAGGGAAGGAAGTTATTTCTATCAGTGCAGATGGGCTAACATAGCCATGCTAATTCCAACCCAGGTCCAGTAGTCAAAATAACTTCTTTCTCGTTATCTTTGCAAACAGCCCTTTGAGGTACAATGTTGCTTTCGGCTTAGTCCAAAGGTTATATTGCCCTGTTTCGACATTGGAAAGGTTTGAGGCATGAGATGTTTGAGGTAGCTCCAGCTCTATTTTAAAGTGGCTCTGTTTATTATTATTATTATTATTATTATTATTATTATTATTATTATTATTATTATTATTATTTTACAGCCAGTGGTTCTCAAAGTAGGGTCTAAAAGGGTAAATAAAGCCAAAGCCATTTGCTACTATGGCTCCACTTACTGAACAGGCCTACAACCTTGTTAAACATGATTGCCATTTTACTCTCTGAGCTTGTCCCCAGGACTGGAAATTACTGGAAAGCAAGAACAGAACACGATTTAAGTGACTAACCACTGCCTACAGCCATAGGCAGAAGATAACATTGGAACAAATTGTAGCTTCAGTTACAATGACCCCAATAGCCCAGGGGCCATACAACAGCACCCCCACCCTTTTAAAATCTAATTATAATTATTAAAAGCTCAAAACCCCCACCTCTTAATGCTGCTGTATGTCTCCACACCATGTCCCTTTCCTTTCTTGGAGAGCAAATAAAATCTTTACTCTCTACACTTTCTCCTCGTTGTGAATTCTTTCACGGCCTGTGTCACCAACCACCCTAACAGGGTCTACAGACCAGCAGCATCAATATTACCTGGGAATTGTGACAAAAGAAATTCTCAGGCCCTATGCCAGGTCTACTGAATCAGAAACTCTTCAGTATGATGCAGCCCACTTTTCAGTACTCGTAAAGCAAATGCTATTTCTTTCATGTGATTATTTAAGTCCAGTTATTATTTATTTATTGTCTCTACAGGCAAAGTACTATACTAGTGACAGATATCAGGCAAACAGCCTTGTACTCACAGAGCTTATGTTATCTTTTAAGCATGAAAAGAAGAAGCAAGTTACTTGAGATGGAGAAGCAAAACTGAAGAACTAAAACTGAGGGAGTAGAGAAACAGTGTTCTCCTAAAGGCTACAGTGGGGATCCTTCCCTGCTTCTTCCATCTTCCAGTGGCTTATTCCAATCTCCATCTCTGTTTTCACTTCCCCTTTCCTCTGTTCTTCTAAGGGAACTTGTTATTAGATTTAGGGCCCATCCTATCTAGGAGGATCTCATCTCAAGATCCTTAACATAATTCTGTCTGTCTTTTTCCAAATAAAGGCATATTTAATGGTTCCAAATGGACTTAACTATCAAGGGCAGTGGTGGGGTAGGGCCATTGAACCCACTACACATCCCCAAAGTGCCTCTATGTGTGGAAATTGAATGTGCAAAATTGGCAAACTGGTTCTGCATATACAGAACTGTTACTTAGCCTCAGAGGGTGGTCCTCGTGAATACTATTAGGGGAGAAGTGAATGTTAGTGGTAACACTGAGATTGGCACAAAATACTTGCATTAAGGCTGATTTAAACCCAGACCATTCATAATTTCTTTTACTGAAGCAATGGTACAGAGGTTTAATAAAATTTATTTCAGTAAGAATGCTAACTGGGAAGGTGGCTTGTGAACTTTTTGGAGTAATAGAGTATCATTTTCTTGAGCTCTGTCCCTCAGGTTTCTTGACTGTAAAGACCTCTTAATTTGGTCTCAGAGGAAAATTGAGTAGAAGTCTTTTTTATAAAGCAACTAGTGTCACAATGGAGATGCTGATGGTTAATTGGAGAACTTTAGAAATAAACAACAACAAAAAAAGTGGGTCCCACTGCTACCTATTTGAGAAGAGTGAGAGATTTTGTAAAATGGCCTGACATGGGGAAAGGAAGAATTTGAGGTCTGAAAATATACTAAAGTTAATTTGGAAAACAGGTTTCAGGAGAAGATTATCAGCAACCAGCTCAAGCTGACTCAAAGATGCTTGTCAGTTTTTTAATTTAGTTTTATATTTTTATTGTTGTTCAAGTACAGTCGTTTCCACTTCCTCACACCACTACCCCACCCCACCCACCCCAACCTCCCACCCTCAATCCAACTCCACTTTGACTTTGTCCATAGGTCTTTTATATGTGTTCCTTGACTACCCTTCCTATTCTTTCCCCCATTATCCTCTGTCCCCCTCCTCTTTGGTTGCCATAAGTTTGTTCTTTATTTCAATGTCTCTGGTTGTATTTTGAATGTTTGTTTTGTTGATTAGCTTCTACTAATAGACAAGATCATATGGTATTTTTCTTTCACTGTCTGATTTATTTCACTTAGCATAATGCTCTCCAGTTCCATCCATGCTGTTGCAAAGGGTAGGAAGTTATTTTACGTCCTTCTTTCTGCTAAGCAGTATTCCACTGTGTAATTGTACCAGTTTTTTGATCCACTCATTTACTGATGGCACTTAGGTTGCTTCCAGTACTTGGCTATTGTAAATTGTGC